AACAAAATTATAATAAAGAGAATAGTATTAATACCAATGTAAATAATAATATTAATAATAACAATAACTTACTGTACAATTGTATATTGGTTGTAATAGAAAGAAAGTGATAATAATAATATTAATACTACTACTACTACTACTACTACTACTAATAATAATAATAATAATAATAATAATAATAATAATAATAAAGTCCTTACCCAGTTACTTAATCACGCCTACTTATGGACGGCTGATTGCTTACACAAAAGGCCAAACTGTTTAAACATGCTTCATGTTTGTTCGTCTTTTTTTAATTTCAGTCAGAAAGACATCTCTGGAGGGAAACCAACTGCAGTAAACACAATATTTACAGTATTTAACATACACACAGAAAACAATCTCATGTACCAAATTTTTACAATAAAAATAAACATATGCACATTTATACAGCATAATGGGAAATGATAGTCCTTATTTCATCATTATTTTTTTCACCTGCATAGCTTTTCTTCTCTTGTTCTCTTTCTCTGCCACTAGTTGTTGATTGCCACTGAGTTCAAGTAAAAAGGCATACTATCCATCAGTACCAAAAGAGAAAAAAAAAAAACAATGTATAGGCAAAAAGGCAAAAACAACCAGAACAGTCCAAGTGACAAGCACAGTGTCACTCAAATTCTTACCTGTGGATTAGTAAATTAAATATAACATGGCTTAAACCAAATGTTTATCCAGTCCAGTGAGAGCAAAGGGATGGCAGTAAATGTCTTTCATTATTTGGATAGTATTAAAAAGTATGCCTGTAATTGGGTTTTTTATTCCAATTTGTGCTGTTAAAGATAATAAAATTACAGTGACTGACTGACTGAGAATTTACATTTTAATTGGAAGATGGAATTAAGAAATATATAAAAAATTGAACATTGAAGTAAAACAGAATGCAAAAGCTGATTTGCATTCTCATGTCTTTAAGTCCAGCATTATGATTGCATCAGCACTGTTTGAGTGCTACACTTTTGAGACTCATTTCATGCTTTTTTTTTTCCTTCTTGAATGAAACCATTTATCTTTGCACCCATTTCTCAGCTCAATGTCTGATGAACATCACGTCTATGAGCCTCATCCTTCAGTCTTCATAAAAAACAGAGCCTGGGACTATGAGATAAAACAGATATTCGGCCGCTTGTCTTCCAGCTCCATAAACCCAATAAGCACCTTTCTTGTTTGACTGAGGACATTAAGTCTTGTGTGATCATCGTCAGGGTGCAGTGACACGTGCAGCACATACTTACATCCTTTCAGCCACCTTTTTGTTCTTTGTATTTTCATTTTACTGTACCCTCACATGGAAAAATATCTAATGTGTGGCCACATGAGCATGTAAACATGGGGACAACTGTAGCTCAGATAGCACAAGATTATCCGTAAAGACTGTGGCCTCCTCCATGGTTCCTCACATGTTGGACTGACTTTGAGTAAGAAACTCCAAGATGCTCCCTGTATGTGTATGCAGGAGGGGGGAAAGCATCACAATACAAATGTCAGAGCATGAAGAAACATCCCAGTGATTGCTGATTATTTCCTCTTGGAAGTCTGTCTCGTTAAAACATGCTCTCTCAGGCGTAGCGAGGGTCAGCGCCGATCAGTGACAACCGCTGGAGATAGGCCGGTTGCTGGTAGCAGGCGGCCCGTGACGTCTCCATGAAGATTGTGGAGGATGTGAGGCTTTTGCGGTCTTTCTTTGAGGTGTGCCTTCTCTGCCAGCGACAGAGTAAAACTTCCACCTGCTCCCTGAAGAAGCTGGTGGTCAAAGTGTACAGGATGGGGTTCAAGGCACTGTTGATGGGAAGGATGAAGATGACAACCCAGCTGGAGATTGTGCCTAGCAGAGCAAACAGGAGGGTGGAGAAAAAACAGAAAACAAAAAAACAACTGACATTTTAAAGTAGCATACCACAAAAAAATACTTCAAACAGTAGAAAAGTGATGTGTAGGATGACTTTGTGACTGATGACACGATAAAGTAACTGCAAAATGTCTAAGAAAGGGCTGTTTCAGTTCTTACCAGGTATCTCCACCTCTAACAACGAAAGGACTTTCACTAAAAATATGGGGATCCAGCAGAGGGCATCAGAGAACACTATGAAGAAAAACCTGTTGGCCACAGCTACATCTCTGTGCAGTCTGCTCCTCAGGTCTGTGGCATTGATGCCAGTTTTGTAGATGGAGTAGAACATGCTGGAGTAGGAGAAAACGATCACCAGGAATGCCACCACGTTAAGGCCTAAAGAGATGGACATTTAAACACATGAATGCAGTGCTAGAAGAAGCAATAAGACTTGAGTAAAAGTATCAGTACAATGAAGTGAAATTCTATACTGCTACAGATAATAGTTCTGCAGAAAAATGGCCCTGTCACTGGTATTATTATTGTTATATATGACATATTCAATTCTTAATACAGATGCACTAATGTGTGAACATCATCTAAATTTTGTAGCTGGTTGAGGAGGTAGTTTTAATTAGATTAGATTTCGTTAGCTAGTTTGGTCCAGTGGTTCCAAACACAGGACTTAAGTCGCCTGCAAATGTTCACAAGATAAATCACTGTCTGTGACATGATGAATGTGGTAGGAACAAAAGTTCTGCTACACAAATCTGGATTGTGTTTTTTTACCCCTTCTTCTAAACTTTATGATATAATTAAAAACTGTAAACACATGCACTAATAGGACAGGAGGACCCCAACCAGACATGGTTTTAACTTTTTCAAGCCTAAAATGTTGGGAAGCACAGGCTTAATCTTTCACAGTATTGTTTGTATTTATTTATATGTTGCTAATGTAAAATCTTGATCAAAAAGTAAGAACTATATAAGTTGTGAAATAAATATAGTTCAGCAAAAAATATATGAAATATAGTAGAGTATAAGGATAAAGTCACATAGCACTGACCAAAGTACATCAGAACTGTAAGACTGTGCAGCGAAATTGCAAGGATCAACCTGAATGACCTCTCAGCCCTGTATCAAATCAGAACTTTAGGTAAGGCCTGTTCAATCCTTACGGATCAGAGCCACCCCTTGACTTGTGAGTTCCTGCGGCTTTCCAACAGGACTAACAGATGCGACTATTCTTTTGTCCCTGCTGGCATTACTCTGCTGAACAAGTAGATCTACTTTCTGTTTTATTTATTTATCATAATCTCTTTGCTATTTATTGTTGTTTCTGTGTGATTGTTGCATAGATTAATTGTTTTACTGCTGGCTGCATGGCAAATTACCCCCATGGTACTTTGTGTTTCAAAGTCACATCTAATTTTTTTTCACTTCCTGCCTTAAAATGGCTGAGATACAACTCTACGTTGTTGCCTCCTTAAATATGTATAGATTTATGACGTCCCTGGCTCTATCCCTACCTACTGCTCGCTGCAACTTAAGTACACCAGCTCACCTATGACTCTGCTCAAACGATGTTACAGTACTACTACACAATACTACTCCACACAATGGCAAGTTGTAATATTGGAGTACCTCAGCAACCTGATTATACAGAAGAATAGTGACACAGGAAGCCCCACACCCTGCATGTTACCAGGATTGGTTCTTCAGGTTTGTTACATATGAAACTTTGGCTTTCTGACTGTGTTTTTCACTGTCATTGGTATTTTTTCTTTCTTTTTTTTTTGCTTATGACATACCTTCTGGCATGTACAAACACCATATGAGCATGTTTAGTCATCTTTAAGTAACGTAAATCAAACCTCCTTATATTTTCATTGATTTTTTTAGAGATAAAAGATCACCAAAAAACATTACCTCATGGATTAATTCAAAGGATTCTAAAGATTAACAGCCCAGTCCCCATGATGTAAATGCCAGCACACTTTTCAGACAGAATATTAGCATAATTCATTCTTCACTGTGGTTCCACACCCACTGGAGCTCAGTAAGAACACAGACTCATCATGATACAGTGGTGATAGAGTCCTGGTGTTTGCCCTGTACACCTAAACCCAATGCAAAAGATGCTCAGGTCTAAGCTGAAACAATGACGCTTCAAATGTCTTCTCAAAATGTTAAATGTCAAACTTAATTTGTAACGTATTCCCCTACATACATTTACATATAAATCATGCAAAACTGAATGCTCTGTTAGTTTATCGAAATAGAATTTCCCTTCCTGCAAACCGTGTAATTTATATGTAAATCTTAACATTTACTGTAATAACAAGCTTTCAGGGGGAAAAAAAATATACAACAACTTTTTCTTCAATTTACCCAGAAAAATCCCTGTGGAATATCCTTTGGCAGTAGGTTTTTCTTGCCTGTCAGAGTGCAGGGGAAAGCAGACCCCATTACGTCCATAGTAGTTCCCGAAGACGTTTTCGTTCATTAGGGGCACGGCGGCAATAATGAACCCTAGCAGCCAGATGGAAGCCAGGACCACCTTGCACCAGGACACAAAAAGATGCTGTTAGGATTTCAGATGCAACAAAAAATTATTTCCACATGTGCTGACATTCAGTTAAAAAGAGACTCTCTGTTAATGAGATGGGGGAAGGAACATTTATAGTAAATGAATATGCAGTTAAGATTTCCCTGAAAAAGCACTGCTCTAGTAATAATAACTAGCTAGCTAATAATAACAACTAACTCCCCTATGAAAAGACATTCAAACTTAGTTAGATAAACAACAGCAAACATACAGCATACTAACATCAGGTTGTGTTGGTGGAAAAAGCCCCGAAAACAGAAGTAAACAAAACAGAAGTGATGCTCAACACATTGTTCAAGATAGGTTTTGAAGATGTTCAGCTGAGTTCATTTCAAGTTTCAAGTGTTACATCTTTTGATTCTTTCAGTCTAAAAATAAAGCTGGTATTCTGAACCCTCACTGACCAAAAGCTGAAATGTTGCGCCACACATTCACATGTTTTTCTATTGTTACACGATCGGTTCTGTTGGAATTTCTAAGTGTAGCTACGGCAAAGGCAACAGAGAGTCATTCTAAGGGCACTGGCTGTGAACATACCATTACTAAAGAGTAAATCCAATGCTTTCACGCTATAAGGATGCATGGTTATTTTATACGTGAAAGTGTAAAGTAGGCAGCAAACTCTGGATTGTGAAAATAAGACATCCTTCAGACAAAATTCTAACTCACCCCTGTCTGAAGTTTGCTTGGCCGCAGATTGCTGAAGGGGAAGACAATGACCAGGAACTTCTCCAGAGTCAGGTAGGTCAGGAGGAGAACGGACACCTAAAGGTAAATAAAGACACGTTATAACTCAAACTACGTACATTAAGAGTCCTCCTGAACACTTTCCAAAGCATACCATCTGTTTGTTTTCCTTTCAGACAGACAAATTATCTGACTAATCACAAGCATTACACAAGAATCAACTTGCAGAGGCTTGAAACTAAATTAATGAATGATCACAGCAGCATCAATCTGCTTTATTGTTGCCATACTCAGATTTACACTGTCCACTAATGCATTCTCAGGCAAGGACTGATTGGAAACCTCTCCTTGTTGGTGCATTCAAGTGCTTTTGTTAAAACCACCTGAAATTTATGCTCACATTCATCTCAACCAAACGCACTGTGTGTGACGTTGAGATTGAACACGTCCTTTTCATAGTTGAAAGAATGTGTTGTTCAAATTCATGTTTCTTCTCCACTGCCATGATTGATGTGCTGATACTTTGCTAAGCTATCATTTGGCAAGCTATCTTGAAACCAATGGTGAAAAGTGTATTGCATCATCTGCATATTTGTCTCTGTACTCAAAAAGAAAAAAAAACAGCAGCCCACTCAGAACAACACTGCTATATAGTGCTATAACACTCTTATTTCAAAACACTTGATGTAACCTGAGAATAAAAGAGATTCTGTTTAGGGTTGCACTCAGTGAAGATCACAGATTGTGAGTTTTAGAAAACAAAGTGTTGATGTTGTACTGGCAAAGTGTTTCAGTAAATGCTGTAAATTGGAGAGACAAAGATGGAAAGATGCATCCATAGAGTCTGACAACACCAGTGCAGTGCATTTCTGTTGGTTTTGTCTTCTCGTGCCCTAAAACAGTAGGTCTTCATATGTTTGTTTTTTTGTTGTGTGTGTATGAGTGTGTGAAAATGTGTGTTTTCATATTCAGCTTGGCCTGACTAGATTCAATTACATTAAGCTCACTGTGATTGGAGGAGAACTGGGTGGTTTAGACAAGCTAGATTGTACTGATTGGACTCAGCCAGACTGATTATAACAAGACAAGACGGCAATAGAATTGAATGAATTTCAAGGTAAATTGAGTTGTTTTTTTTGTAAACATTGAATTTATATTCACTTGTCTATGCTTATGCAGACACACTTTTTTCACTGTCCCACTAGTTGGTCAGTTATTACAAGCTTATGTTGCACATTCCAACCATGTACAAACTCATTAAAAAAAAAAAAGTTAATCCTAAATCCTAAAAATGCTCATCCTAGAGTTTCCAAAGACACCACATATGTCAGGCCGTACGCTGGTGCAATTAAAAAATGTACATATCAATAAGACATCTGGCATATTTCAATTTTATGACACATTTATAAAAAGCACTTTATCTTGTGTGTTCCAGACAGAAGATGTGGGACTCAGGTGTAAATATATGCATCTATTTTTAAAAAGGGAAAAGGGTAGAAGCACATAAAAAGCCAGAGTGTGAGTATTTCTCTCTGTGTAAAAATAGAAGGAGCTGGAACAAGCAGAAACTGTCAGTCAGCGAGGTGTAAAAGGATTTTAACAACCTTAAAGCTAATTAAAGAAAACCAAAAGGGGGAAAAACGCATGATATGAGGTTAAGAGTGTGAAAGTGCAACTGACAGCTCTTTATTTATTGTGTGTCACGGGCTCTGTTTTAGAGCCAATTAACATGTCTCTGTATACATGTGTGAGAGGGATGCAAACACTGTATTAACCCTGTTCAGGACTTTCATGGTGCCATATATGTAGAAGGTCTTTCGGGGTCTATTGGACCTCAAGAAAGAATATGTGAAAAATATTTGTTGGTATTCATTACAGACTTTTATACGATGTTAAATACATTTTCTGATAAGTTGATGTATTTTTGGTTCCAACTGCATGACAAATGTCCTTTTTTTTATATAAAAAAAAAAATCTTCAAAAATAAGAAAACAATACCTGTCACCTGAACCAAATGGCCTGGTGTCCTGAATAGGGTTAAAGTACCTCAGAGGAAAGCATGGCCAGGAACCCGATGGTCCGACACTCGATGCTCTCCATCCACAGCAGGGCGTTCCGATTGTACTGACCGCGGAATTTTACATCAAACACTCCAACGAAAAACAGGTACACACCCATGAGGCAGTCTGCACCTGGATGATAAGACACACACACAAACATGCTCTGTGTAAAGGAGTCCATTTGTCAGCTGCTGGCGTTTCCTGCAGCAAAAGCACAAACTTTTCATTAAAATACACAAAACAGGTCATTATTTCTACCCTTAAGAGCAGGAGACCATATGTACAATATGTTTTGTTGTTGCTGCGTGCAGGTTTGTGGGTTAGCGAGTAAACAGGTGACATTGGGTGAATTTGTGAAGTAAGAAGGTCACCTTTACTCAATTTCTGAAGCTTTTGCATTGTTTTTTTTGCTTTAGAACTTTCATACAGAACAGTGGGAATGCTGCTGTTATAGCCTGTGCAACTAGAAATCCGAATAATAAGATTAATAAACTCCTTATGTCTTCAAGGTTTGAAGCTGCAGTCGTATTTGAAAAGATTTATTATGAATAAAGGCTGGAGAACAAAGCAAAGGCAGTGAAGCCTGGAGTTATGTTCAAAATCCAGAAGGAGAAAAGACGAGCACATGGCACAGAGAGGGCGACTGAGAGTGTGACAAGGTTATGGAAATAAAGTTGACAGAAGGAAACTGAAGAAAACAAAACCGACTAGAATAAAAAACTACACAGTGCACAATGCCGTAGAAATGTTAAAATGTTAATTAAACGTGAGTCAGAATGGATGAATGGATTATTTTAGAAAAAAAGCCTTTTGTGCACTTACACACTGTTAAAAGCCTTTTGTCTTTTTAAGTGCCTTTGACTTATATAGCAAACCCTTTGTGCTATGTGTAATCATTAGTTGGAACTGAGTGGTTTGCTTCATGTTACACTTCCATCTTTATCATGAGGTGAGATGAGATGAGGTGAGTTAATGCTTCAACTCCAACCTACCTCAGGTTATTCATATGCATAACAACTACTACGGCCACTTTGACACTTAGTGAGTCATTTAAACAAGTAATAACAGCAATAAGTGTAAGAATCGTTTTGGTCCTGAAGCCAAAGAGAACAGAGAGAGGAAGAGAAAGTTATATGAGCCAGTAAGACACTAATCGCTGCACGCTGCAACCTGTAACCTGTAACCCAAGAATTTTCTACTGGCAAATACAGCAGTATTTCAGGATGTTTGACCCACATTTTTTTTCCCACTGCAAGTTATTTTACCCTCCTTTATAAAACTAACATGATTATCTGTGACAGATCTCTCTGAGTAAAAAAAAACAAACAGCAAATAAAAACAGCAGGAATGCTCACAGCCCTCATCTCCATGACATATTTATTATAGCATGACTGCTAAAGATTCAGAAGGACTATTTATGTTTTGAGAAAATCACTGGTAAAGTTTACAAGATACCGTTTTGTGGGTTTTTTTCTAATGCAATTATCTTTTATGACCGTAAGAAATTCAGAGTTTATGTAAAGATTTGTCTGGCTCTTGACCAACAACTCTCACGTTTTCTGAGGCAATTGCACTTTATTTATATTGAATCATGCCTGAAATCTCCCACCTTAAAGTGTTCTCATTCATGCATAGATTTATTCCTATTTATATATAGTTTACTGGCTGAGTGAGAGAGAGCCAGAGCAGATTTCACTCCCTTTTAAATGTGCAATTGTACCTTTTAAATGCATGTGCCAATAATCTTGAACCTAAACTCTATTCACTGCACAATACAAGTAGTTCGCACTTTACTGCCTGTCTGGTAAATTACTTCAAATGTACACTCATGGGATTGCTGCCTAGAAAGTCGGGCGTAGATGTCCTCGAGCATTAGGCCTACTTTCTTTTTTTTCTAGCTCGATTATTGCAATAGACACCAAGCACTGGAAAGACTACGTAAAGCAATTTTTCTCTTCCAAGTGCCTCATTTCGCTATTACAGAATATTTAAGATTATAGTTAATCATTCTCATTCAGGCATTTCTATATTTGCTCAGTTTTATTTTGTGAGGGTCTATGGTGGTGTGTGCTTACTCACAGCAGAGGACTTTGATGCAGGCGGCGTGCAGGTTGTTCTCTGCACGGATCAGCGACCTCATTCCGATGACCAAGAGGTTACCAAAGCAGGTAATGAAGGCCATGACCCAGACAGAGACCCGCAGCACTATGTTAGCCAGCAGGTCCTCGAAAGACGAGATGCCGTCTGTGTTGGGCTTACAGGACCTGACATGAGGTGCATAGGAGCAGTACTGGAACTTCTTAAAGTAGCTGGCAGAGGAGAGATGGGAGACAGAGTGAGACAAACAATGAGACACAATTTCGCAGCTGTGTGAGGATTCTTGGTGTTGATTCGTACGTACATGTGGGAGAGGTTCTTCATCGGCAGAAACAGCTTTGTGTGAATATCTTCGATCTCAATCCCCTCCAGTGCCCTGAAGAAAACGACAGATTTCACTACCACACAGGATGCAGCAAGAAGTTTGTGAGCACTTGCATTGCCATCTTTGTGAGGACCAGTTTTAGTTTTGAAATCATTATATTCTGGACATTTCTAATTACTTTTAAGGACCACTTATCTGATTTTTAATACCAAGCTTAGAATTACCTTGAGATTAGGTTCAGAATTAGGCCTGTAGTTTTGATGGTGAGAGGTACAGGCAATGCATTGTGGCAGTGAGGGTCCTCACACGAATAGAAAGGCAAACGCCAGAAACTGTGTGTGTACTCACAGAGACTGGAGATGCGTCAGGTGGTGGAAGTGACTCGGGTGAATTCGGAGAAAAGGATTGTAGGAGATGTTTCTGCAACGAGGAACAGATGGTGACAAACTCGACAAAATTCACCGGGATGAAATGTTATACGTCTATATGAGAGAAAAATCCAGATGGTTTTGTCTTTTTTTAATTAGGGAAACAGATTGCATGACACTGAATACACTGTGTACTTATTCTCCACTCCAATTACTTCACACTCTGCTTTACATTGCATTTAGTAGATTGAGTTATAGCAGTAAACAATTACAATATCTATATAGTATACGGACACTCTTGCTCGGCATACTGTAACTTTCTCATTCACGATTTGTACTTCTTTTTCCCCATTTGGAATTTTTAATATGCAATTCAATGCAGGACTGTAATACACTGCATGCCAAGGCATATAGCTCCAAAATGAACTGCAAGAAAAGTAACAGAGCCTCCAGTCACAGATTGAAATTACTTTGTTGCTCATTTCTTTTTTGCTTACAGCACCTGTAATATGTTCTGGTAGAGTCTGTATTGTTTTGCAGAAAAGCATCTAACTCTGCAACATATCAACCAGATGCTGGGGAAGAGTTCATTTATTTCTTCCTTATATTTCGAAATCAGCTCACATCTGACAACACTGGAAGTGATCTGTGAGAGAACTGGTCTGGACTTGACTGTTATGAAGTGCATGTACTGCAAAATGTGGGACTGGTTTTGGACAAATGTGCAGGGTGCACATAGGCAAAAATTTAGTCCTGGAATTGGTAAATTGTTGTATATTAGTCAGGAGTTACAGGGATGCCACATGCAGGCAGGGAGTGGCTGCGTGGAGGCCTAAGAGGTAATAAATCAACACACAGTTGCCCTGCTGTATTTTTGCTAACAGAGCCTGGCGACAACAAAAAACAGTCTGATTAATCCACCCAAGCATGCTACCAATAGATAACCCCAAGGCTGTTACACAGCGTTTATCTCAGGGTTTATTTTGGTGTTTTTCAGTCCGGCCGCAGATGAAGGACGAGGACAAATGAGGATCGAGTATTAAGCTCTTCACAAGACAAGATGAACACATGCTGTTGTTTTAAATGTGACTTCAGGGACATTTAAATCACAAGCATGTTTAGCGCTGCTGGCACGAGCATCATGCCAGCAGACCAAATAAACAGATTTGAGTGAGTTATTCTCACAACACGAAACTCCAAATACATTCAATCTGTGCACCCTCACCTCATTTTGATGTAGTGCCCCACTTTGGAGCATAACTCACATGATGGCAAGTAAAGACCACTGACGTTTTCTATTGCATTTTAAAGTGATGTGCTTTTAGATTTAAATACAACCAGGCGAAAATTACACATTTTTTTAACCTGCACATGTGAAAATTGAAGGAGCTTGTTTCAGTGGACAGTCACTGCTTTTTCTTTGCTCTAGTTTAGTCTCAGCTATGGTCATAATTATACCTAAATAATCCTGTAGCAACAGTGGGAATGCTTCCGTCCTTGAGAGGGAAATGTCAATGGTTTTACGCATCAGTATAACAAATGTTAACTGCTTACACTGATGTTTGAGTGCATGAGTGTGAGAGAGATCATCATCATTATCCCTGGTAGATTACATTCTGATGGTAAGTTTACCGTGTCTCATTTCAGTTGCACTGATTAAAAGTTTTGATGATGTTTACTAATTTGCAACAACATAGTGAGCCAAAGGCAAATAGTTGATTAATATACAATTACCTCTTCACTACATTTAATCTACCGCTGTCTGTCTAAGACATATTTGGGGGTTGTTTTCAATTAAAGTAAGTGGAAAATTAAGATTTATGGTGCGGTTTTTCCAAGCTTGTCACATTTATGCCATACTTTACTGCAGTTAAATCGTAGAGCAGGCTGAAACAGACAACACAGTTGGTAATGCCGTGCACCATTTACAGAAACCACAAATCCAAATACTCTTTAGCCACATGTGATGACTGAACAGACCAAACAAGCATAATAACAGACTGCATGAGGCCAGTGCTAGCTGTCTGAAACTGTGTCAGACTTGATTTAAAGCGGGAGACTTTCCTTCTCTTCTATACAAACTAGTGTAACTACTCTATGTATCTTACATGTTTCCACTAGAAGTGATTTGTTTTCCAATTCCTCAGTCACCACTAAAGATGAAAAATGAATAAACAGTTCAGAGCTTATTTAACTTGTAATAGAATTATTTATGAGGCAGCACTCTGACTAAATGTATTGCTGGTCTTTCCTTCCTCCTCCCACATAAACAACAGCTGCTACAAGGAGCTGCAACTTCATCTTTGTCTCCATTTCTATGTTAATGGTTTCCTTTTTGTTCCATAAAGAAGAAGCAGAGAAAACTTAGTACGATGTAATACGTGAAAGGAATGAGCATGCGTAGATGAAGGTCAGATGTTTTAACTGTGCAGATGCAGTCCCATAAATCTTGTTGTACCCAGAGGACGAACCGTATCAGATGAGCAGCAGCTCTTGAGGACAAATGCATCATTTTTCCACAGCAAACATTGTAGCTGTAATGTGTAAGTACCATGGACATGTGGTATTAAAAGGAACTGATTCTATGAGCCAACATAACTTTCATCTATTCCAGCAAAACCTGCTCACTTAAAAAAAAAAACTAAGCATGCTGCTGAATTTTTTACACTTTGAGTTGGACAACTCTCTGTATGAACGGCACAGATGTAATGACACATGTCTGTCTTTAAATCTTTGTTTGCCTCCAACTTGTGGCTCCAGCTGCGATAAAACAAAGAGTCGCCTCTAATATGTGATAGACGGACTTTCCTCACTGTATTATACTCTAGTTGCTTCTTCTGTAATGGCATTGCATCTAAAAAGTGCTGAGGGCATCAGTATGCAACATGCATTTTAGACTGTGGGAACAACAGAAATGTTGCTGCACAGCTTTGCACTTGCTGAACTCCTGTCAAGTTTTTCCATTTCCTGGCTCCTGGTGTTGTGCATGTGGACTCTCTTGTGATGAAACTAACAGAACAAAGCTCTAATTTAGCTGCCATCTTCGTTGTTGTTCCTAACATTGTTTTGAACAATATGATTCAAAATATTACAGCACAGCTTTCAGTCTTTGGGGACCGTCTGTTCCATTTTTGATAAGTCTGTTCACGACTCGTAATACTTTTCACGAGTGATAGAGGAAGTAATAAGATCATTTAATTAATTACGAGTAGCAACACCACACTGTTTCAATTGCAAGCAAAAGGTTTGTAAGGTGAAGTATGCAAATGATATCTGAAATTTATGGGGAAAAAAAAGACCCCTGTGATTGCTTAGTTGTTGCAAATGGCTGTGGATAAGCTTATTTTAACTGCATTATGCTGTATATTAACAATATTACTTATTATTTTGTGTGACATAGTTTTTTTGATATTGCTTGTGGACTAGTTTGTTTGATTTTCTCACATATTGCACATAAAAGATAGATGTGGCCTCTAAGAGGTGCCTGAAACCTGCATTCTTTCTAATGACCAGCAGGGGGCGGCTCCTCTGGTTTCAAATAGAAATCTGATTGCACAGAAAACTATGAGAAAATGACTCTACCTCTCACCTGCTTGTTTTTTTTTTATTGATTCATTCATTTTTACCCCTGGAAACATTTTCCTAATGATTTTATAATCTACGTTGCTTGCAATTCATAAATGCTGATCCCATTTAGAGTAAAGCAGAGGTATTCTTCAAGTATGGCTACTTTGTGACTGGCAAGTCACTACTGTATGGGCACACATGTGTTTTTGAGTTATCGGTCAAACCCACTTCTCGCTCATCCCCTCTGCTTTCACAAAACTAAGATGGCTAAAATGCCAAACTCAAGATTCCAAATAGCAGTCCACCAACCAATGATTCACATCAAGGTCGACTACTGGACAAAAACTCTTTTGTTCCTCGTGATATTGCCATTGATTTTCTGAGTTTCTTCCCAGTGGGAGACATTAAAAATAAAACGAAGTCATGTTGCCTGAATCCTACCTTAAAACTGGACAAAGTGGTTTAACTCTAAATATACTCTATTTCACCCGAATCTGCTCCAGTTATAGTTTTCACATTATGAAGCACATCTTTGCTCGAGGCAAAACTGCCAGCGACTCACAGTTTAAGGAGGGACTTGGAGAGACTCTTAAAGGTGTTTTTTGGCAGCTCCTTGATCCTGTTGGTGGACAGATTCCTCAACAAGAAAACAGAAAAAAAAAGCAAAATTAAAAACTTGACGTACAGTATATCTATAGTCAGTTTCAAACATGGACATCATAAACAAGCACAAACAACGAGAAAGTCTGAAAACATAAGTAGATATGTGATGTTTGGATAGAATTCAGCAAAGTTGTTCATCTCCAGACTTTTCTTTCCTAACTTTAATTTCTTGAGGAACATGCATTTAATGTTGCTGCTGGTTGAGAAAAAATGATTAAATTTGAGTAAGGCTATGAAAAACCCATTTTCATCAGCAGTAATAAAAACCAACCCACTCGTGCCTACAGAGGATTTAAAGATTTTCCGATAACTTTCAATCTCCACTGAAAAGCCAGTGATTGATTACAGCCAAAGCATCTGCCAGCTGATATAAACTGAACTGATTATGTGATCAGAAAAGCAAATATGACACAAATTGGCACTTACAGTTCAGCCAGCTTCCACAGAGACTGGAAGGTGTTTTCAGGGACTCTCCTGATCCTGTTGTCCATCAGTAACCTGAACAAGATAGAAGTGCTGTCAGAAACCATGCAGAGAGCTGCAAAGTGCTGTTTCAGTTCCCCGCGGTGGACGCTTGCTGTGGCCGGATGCGATCTCATTTGCAGCAGCATGACTACCAATTAACTTCTGTTAATACAGGATCAGAACTAACTCAACAGCTCTGCCTGGAAAAAATAGACAACTAACATCTTTTCTTATCTATTCTCATATTCACACTCAGCTGCTGCCCTGAACTGGAGATCAACACCAGAGCAGATGGCAGATAAATACTTTGCTCGCGGGCATCTTCCAATAAAGGAGAAGCGAGTGCGGCTCACTGCTCAGGGTCCACCTGTCAACCCTCCTGTCAAAAACCTATTTACTGTACAGATTTCTTCTGATAGAAAACATGACGCTTCAGCAAGGAAAGGTGAACTCTAATTGACACGGTGTACAAACTGTACGCTCATTCTGCAGCAGAAAGGTGAAAGACATGAGTGGAGAGCTTAGAGCTGTTTCTCCTGAATGTCTGTTTCACCTATTCTGACCCCAGTCAAGTGTGAATGTGTTGTAGGAAGGTCAGTGTCAAGGCTTCTTCTCTGAATCAATCCAGGGTTGAACAGAAGATAAAGTTACTGCTGATGTAGTTCACAAACCCATTTCTCTGCTTCAGGAAGGAATATGTGTATTAAAAAAAAAATGTAGAAGATTCCAACAAAAAGACAAGACCTTTAAGTGAAGGTTGTAAGTTATAACTGATTGGCATGGCACTGAACGTCAAGAAACACCAGCCTGTGTATGAAAACTTCTAAATATGTAAGAATAAAACAGCAGTAGATTGAATGAAATTCACAGGCAGCTTGAGACTCCTCTTTACGCTGGCATATTCTGGCTATTGTAAGGTGAAAAAAACAACAAAAAAACCCCAAAATAACTACAGATCCAGTGAAAATCAATAATATTTTGAGAAGTACAGTCAGAGTTTTTGATTTTTAAGTCACAAATTTATGAGAAAAATAATAAATTGTGTCTGTTTTGTTTGTGGATCAACCTCATGAACTTACAGAAGTCATTGCAGAGTACCATGCACGCAGTCGAAGATCTAATCAAACTTCACTTTGCCATCAAATTCAGCAACAGGGAAATACTTGTGATTTTAGCCCAGAATCACTACATCTGCACAAGCATCGCAGAGACATTGTCATTAACTGGACCTATTCAGAAGAAAACAACATACTGATTCAAATGAGATAAAAACTTTTGTGCATCAGGAACCACAATGCAAACGACAAATGCAAAGTCATGTTTTGTATTATTGTCTGTCTGTGACCTTTCCTGATTACCAGCACCGTCTGGAGCATGATAACGTTGATTTAGCTTTGCAAAGGTTTTTTCTCTAAAATGAAACTTTTATCCCAGAAATTCTTTGTTTTTTCTTGCAGTGTTACCCCCTCTTCCAGCCGTCATCCCCCCTCCTAGACGCAAATAATGTTTTTTTGTTTGTTTTTAAAGCAAAATCACTATTTTAAAAGCAGAGAAAGCCACATTTTCCAGGTTTTAAAACATTTATTGATCATTAATGCTGCCACACAGCCTGAAAATCAGAACAGACTTGTTTTTCTAGCTGGTTCGTGATGTGTATGTGTGTGGTCTTTCTTGTTGTGCCTGTCAACTGCTTGATGTCTACGCTTGTCCTCAGCTTGCAACACGATTAACAGCCTTGGATCTAGTCAGAATACCTTTTCCTCAGGCTGATGACTATAATTTAGGTTCTAATTTTAGATCTCGACGTTTCCTTGGACGATAATTGTGGTAAAGTTGTGGAGTCATGTTGAGGCCCAGCGCTAGTACTGATGCATGTTCTGTTTTCATCTGAGGAATATGAAAATGTCACACATGCATTTATTTAAAACAAACTATAATTTTCCCCCTACTGTCTGCCACTAACTCTCAGCCTACAGTGAACCCCTGTGAGGCTAATCACTGCTTGAGAAAGCCACATTTGGAGAAAAAGAATTTGGTGTTGGGCCTCTGTCATCTCATCAACACCCTGTAGGAATTGGATTCTATCTATTTAATATTTATAAGTGCCATAAAACATTGAATTATTCATATATAATATACTGTGATGTGTGTAATGTGGCTCCAAAGGTGACAAATCTCCAGTATTTTTTGTTTTGAAGTGTTATGCTTTGCTTTTAGTAAAATCAAGTCACTGTTTTTTATACAGAACATTAAATATAAAAGCTGTCACACCAAAGTGCTTTCCAGTAAAACAAAAACAGACTACAATTAGAGACATGAATGAATGTTACAATTTCAAATCTTGGGCTTAGGACCCTTCAGTGTTATTTATGATGTGCTTTTACCTGTGTAATTTACATATTAAATTAAATTAAATCCATGCAAAAATTATATAAAATGCTACTTTACCTGGCTATAATATATACATAAGCTGAGACCCTGCAGTAATATTAATTATGGAGATTAACCTGACTCATTTGAACTGAAGCTGCGACCTTACAAAATGTATATATGAAACCGCAACAACTCCAGGGATTTAATTGATTTATTGTTTTTTTTAATTATTATTATTTTATGTGGATTGATACAGATTTTAGATAATGTATTTGTTTTTTTTTTTAATTTGTGTACTATAGTGTACTTCATACTTTAAAGTTTTTAAATACAGAATACACAAGACTTAACCTCAATAGTATCCTGTTGTTACCACATTACTTGTCTCATATGTTCTTGTTTTTCTTTTATGTTTTGCTGAGCCAATCACAACTTCTCCCTCTGGGGGACAATACTGTGAGATTTTATTCTAACACTTTACTCTTGCTTTGACAAGTTCTACATGAAGACGTATTATAGCATTAATCATTTGTCGGTGCCTACAGGTTTGGGAGTCTCTTGCTAGTTTGCAGATGCCCACACATTTAGAGGAGCTGCAGCTGTTTGTTTCCTTCTTTGACTCGTTTCTTCGTAGTGTGAAGGAAAAGCAGCAAGTGAATAAAAGTACACAAGTGTGTCTGTGTGTGTGTTTGTGCATGAAGAGGAGGTTTAAAGTGAGAGAATCTGAACCTAAAACAAAGTGGAGAAAACAGCATTGTTAAGGACTCAAATGAAAACTTTTCAAATCTCTTCAGAAGTTTAATTTGCTTGTCTTGATTAATTCACAGTAATGCAGGAAATATCAAGCAAACCAAACTCTATGTAGAATTGATGAAAACAAACAAAAGACCGTCATTACTTATGTTAGTCTTGAAACACAACAGAGATATCAAAACCAGATAATGCATGCTCCACAGGGCTCCAAAGATGCAAAACTTAAACAAATACACACATATTTGCATTGGAATGGGAGTCCCATAATCAACACGATGCACATGTTGAAGCAGCATCACAGTCTGCTAGACCTCAGACGTATCCAATCTGTCAACAAGTTATCTAATTTTGTATTAAATGTGAGCTGCAGTGATACCATCACACATGCTACAGGACAGTTTTTGTGGGATAATAACTTTAGTTGCTGATATTCTACCCTTGCATAAGATAACAAACACACTGCTGGCTGGTCTGTAAACGTATTATTGTTGTTAACAATATGGAGATGAATGTGTGTTCATGCAACAGTGAACAGACCTTACTCAACATGGAGGGAGAGAAATCACTCCTCTCTCCCCAATTGAGGAAGCACAAATCTAACAGCTTTTACAGTGAACACAAACTTTTTTCCTGTTGGCTTGTTGACAACAGGTTTTAAGTTTAAACCTGCAGTTTTCCATACCATGTAAGAAATGCTGAGTCCACCTTTCCGAACACAAAAACCTTTCAGTGGTGTGTAAAATATCCTCAGCAAAACATACAGAGTTCTAAAAATTGTTTTCATTGGAACAAAAAGGAAATGGACAATCTGTCATAAATCACTTTCAGAAACCTAAGTGCTGACTTTATCCTTTAAGTTCTTTGTTCACTAATGTCTGATGTGGCTTCATCAAAATGTTAATTAAAAGTTGTGGTTGATAAGTTTCATAACCTCCCTAAATGGGACGGAAACATCACTTAGAAGTCCTGGAAAAGAATGTGTTTAAGGCATTGTGGTTTTAATGATGTTTTAAAGTGGGATACTCACAGAACTTCAAGCTTGCTGCACGTCTTTAAGATGGAGTAGTTAAGAGTTTGAATCTGGTTTCCCTCAAGATCCCTGAGAGCAGAAAAAAGGGACAAAGAGGATGAAACGTAAACAAAGAAACAAGAGATCACATGTAAATATATAATATGTACAGTTGTCCTCAAATTTATGATACCATTCCATTAAAGAAAAGGCAAAATTCACAATAGTCACTCAAACAACGAGAAACTGAAAAAAGTAATAATAAATACAATTTTTATTATTCAGTGAAATACGGCATTGCTTTTGAATTGAGATTGAAAAGAATAAAAAAATAAATAAAAAAAAACACTGTCCCAGACAAATTCAAGCACTTTGCTGATGAGCAGTGGGTCAAAATCAAAACACCTGTCAACAGGTGCAGAAGTCTGACTGAGAGTTACAGAAAACATTTGATTGCAGTGATTGGCTCAAAGGGTTGTTCAACTAAATATTAGTTTACGGGTCCCATCATGCTTGTTTGCTTGTTTTATTTATTTATTTTTCCTTTGAACCACAATTCAAAAGCAATGTCACGATTTTCATCAAATTTTTTTTCATTAATTTTTTTTTTTTTGTCAATTAGTAACCTGAACAAAAACAGCTATCACTGTCAATCTGTCAGTGACAGCTGTTTTTTTCCTTCTTCAATGGGAGGGTATGAATAAATTTGAGGACGACTGTATAATACGTATGAGTCCACTTGATTTTTTATCAAAATGCCTTCTATTAAAATCTATTCTAAATAAGATTGAAAGAAGGAACAAAATATGATATTCGACTGGAATTTGGTACAAATTTGCTTTGGAATTTGAATAAGTTGTGTGAGTGCTGAGAGGAAGCATGCTGTTAGCACACAGACATCCAGCTAACATGAGGTCACTGTGAGTGTCGGACTCATCACACTGCTACTCTCCACTCTGACCAAAAAGAGCCGGTCGAGCCGACTGACCAGTGATATCAGCTGAAGACACCACTCAGTCAGGAGAAGCGCTCATCTGACCATATTAATGTCAGCTTTCCCCTCTATCTACCAGTCTCATTCTGTTTTTAAAGTATGCACACCAACACACATCCACACATCGAGCAAAATTCTTTACTGCACAAAACATACACACACATGCACTACACACCTGCATACACACAAGTACACTGTCAGAGCAGACTCACAGCCAGTCCAAGGCAGGCATGTGTTGACAGAAGCTCGGATGAGGGAGCTGCTGCAGTGAGGTGTTCACCATTGATCTGAGGACAGAAAGACGACTGAGGTTAAACTCTGAACACGCATGAGACGATGTCTTTCTTTGAAAAACAGACGGAAGCACATCCAACATTAGGAGGCTACTGCTATAATAGCACCGTGACTAATAAGGTGGATAACAAGAAATTAATTGGAGGTAATTTTAGCAGAAGTTCAGGAGCAGGAACGCATTTGAAACACTTCTTCTCATACAGCTAACTGACTAACTCTTTCTGCTTGAGTCAGACGTACAGCAGGTTGAGACAAATCCAGATCCATCATTGAAGGGGAACAACAACAGAATGTTTGTATGGAATCAAAGTTGTTCACATGCTATATGAAATGTCAGATACTGAAATCACATCAACACCTATTGTCTTGACTTGTTCTGAACTGGAAGACAGGGAATAATATTGTGAATTTCTTAGAATAAATTGAGTACGTACATTTTAATTATCTCACAGTGAGTTTATTTAACTAAAACAAAGCCTTAAATTAAATCAATTACCCAAAATGAATACCTAGAAAGAGGCGCCCACTTGGTGTGGTGCTTTATTCAAACTGAGCTTGGTTATAGCATGATATCAAAGCACTTTATTGCATTCGAACAAATTGACCATCAGGACACATTTATAGCCACTGAGTATTAAGATCGCCAACGAATTACACTGCACTGGGGTTGGCTCATTAGAGTTCTGGCTGATTATTCTTTGTTTTTTGTTTTTTTACAGATGACTGATGAAACAAACTCATTTTAAAAATAAAAATGCTACTTTGCCTCGCATGCAGCTGCCTCTCTAATGTTGTGAGGGAGATCGCTTTGAGGATGTCAACTCAACCACAGTAAAACAACATTCCAGGCACATCTTTGAAAATAATCTGAATTTTTTTAAAATCACGAGAAGCTATGACTTGTAAAATAAACAGAAATACCAAAGACTCTGCATCAACTCTGGGTGCAAATTCACAACATCAATCAAGCTCCGTACACCGAGAGATAGTAAATCAGCTTCATCACAGATACAGAGTTTGTTAAACAAAGAATGTAAGACTTCAATCAGCAAAAGTCTTCACAAAAGGAAAATATCCAGTGGTGATCTCACAGGAGTGTCGTCAAACCACTACTGAAAGGAGAAACAGGGTCAAATGCTTCAAATACATACTGACATTTTACAGTAGATGATGGAAAAAGTCTTATTTACTGATGAATTCAAGTGAGAGATTTGTATCAGTGTCAGGAAACAAACAGGAGAAAAAATGACAGCCACAATGAAACATGGTGGTGGGATTATTCATGTCGGGGGTGTTCTGCTGCTCTGGACACCTGCACTGAATCAACTTTATCCTGACTAAGGAGTAGCAGCACTCTGTTTTTCAGAGACATGCTGCATCCTCTGGTTTGCATCTTTGTGGAGGATGAGTCATACTGCAGCAGGACAACGAGCCCAAACACACCTCAGATCTTTGAAACTCAAACCCAAGATTGTGAACATTCCTCCACAGACACATAACCCCAACTTTTACGGAGACACTTGAAGATGTAGGAGGAATCGAAATATTCCTGACATCAAAAGAAGCTCTTTGGACGATTGTTGGATCATGCTGACATAAGATGGGTTATCAGGTTTGACAATAACTCGACAATGCTGTTATCAGTAAAGCAAAAGGAAGGCAGATCACAAGATATTCTGAAACTCGTACATTTTTTCAGAGATTCAGCCAACTTTTTAAGATGATGTTTTCATTTGTGATGAAAAATGCTGGAATAAATTCAAAACAAAAACAAAATAAAAGTCTTCACTAGACTATTTATTTATCAATGCAAAATACTGTGATTTTAAATCTTTGTCAGACTTGGAGTGGGAAATTACTGTTTGTCGACAAAAAAAATCTGTTTTCCTTTGTTATTCGTCGATTCACTTGACACGGACAGTTTCCCAACAATGCTCACTTGTCATTCTGTGTCACTTACATAAGAACTTCATCTTTTGCTTACATGCGAGATCAAGCGGGAAAATGCATCAGGATTGTTTAACTAAGAAACCGAATATGCCTCCTGCAATAAACAGTTCAAAGACTTTGTAGGTTTACAGAAAGTGGAAGGGAAGGAGACGCTGTAATACTGACAGCTTCCCCGGGAATTGCAGGAAGTTTGACTTTTATATTTGTTGTTTCATTCGTTTATTGCACTGGGGTTTTCTAACTTAATCTGTGTAGGGAATGCTGAGAGGCTCACACAAGTATGATGAAACCCAGCACTCACCTCTGCTTTAAAAGACGCTCTGCTTTGTTCAACAGTGGTTTTTAATTGTACCGTCTAAACATAGTAGCTGTGACTTTGATTTAAAAGGGAGACCAACCGAGCATTCAGGTACTTTATGGCTATGAATGTAATTTACTGCATTAAAAAAAATTATTAAAAAATCTGAAAATAATAACAATGTAATATGTTTGAAATCAGAAACTCTGTTAAACAAACAGTTCTATAGCAGCGAGACAGTTGGATTCATGGACAAATATTAAGATGAATTATAAGAACTATCGAGTATTTTGGAACATGTAACATCAAAAGTTCTTAACTGCTTGAACAGAACAGTGAAATTTACAATAAACAGTGAGATCTGTTCAATGTTGCCTGGATATGTGACAACATGCTAACATGAAATAGCTAAAATAATAATTTCTACATACTTTCTTTTATAAAAACAGAAACAAATATAAAATGTAGTTTACATAGCAGTCCACGCTGAACTTTTAATTTCTAACATAACTGACATCTTTTCACATAAGTGAGGATGCATGAGGTGACATTTTACAAAA